GTGAGTGGTGGTGGTGGTGGTGGTGGAGTGGTGGTGGTGAGGTGGGTGGTGGTGGTGTGTGTGTGTGGTGTGGTGTGTGTGTGTGTGTGTGTGTGGTGTGTGTGTGTGTGTGTGTGTGTGTGTGTGTAATAATAATAATTTACGGTTTATTGAAAAAGTTCTGCAACCCGAAGGCTGAAAATATACATTGAACATAAATGACTTATTACATACATTGTTGGTTTAACAAAAGCCTTCATTACAGAAAGGTAAAGGAACATACAGTGAACATACAGATTTATGTTTACAGTGGAGGTCACGTAGATCATGTACGATGAGGTGTTGAACAGCAGACTCCCTCACAGATGGTCTTATGAGGGGCATCATGTGGTGTAGTAACTCCCTCACAGATGGTGTTATGAGGGGCATCACGTGGTGTAGTAACTCCCTCCAGATGGTGTTGAGGGCATCACGTGGTGTAACTCCCTCCAGATGGTGTTATGAGGCATCACGTGGTGTAGTAACTCCCTCACAGATGGTGTTGAGGGGCATCACGTGGTGTAGGAACTCCCTCACAGATGGTGTTATGAGGGGCATCACGTGGTGTAGTAACTCCCTCACAGATGGTGTTATGAGGGGCATCACGTGGTGTAGTAACTCCCTCACAGATGGTGTTGAGGGGCATCACGTGGTGTAGTAACTCCCTCACAGATGGTGTTGAGGGGCATCAAGTGGTGTAGTAACTCCCTCACAGATGGTGTTGAGAGATGGTGTTATATGAGTGAGGTGTGGTCCCAGGCCTTCCTATTGTGGACGGAGTAACACATCGCTGGTTGTTGTTGAGTCTCAGGGGCAGTTATCATTTGGTACCTGAGACCTCACTGTGTGAAGGTTAACTTGGGTAAGACTCAGCTGTTGCTGTTGAGTTGTTTTTCACTGACTTAAGCACTGTTCACCACTATTCAACACTGGTTCCATTCCTTTCCTAAATGAAATAGTAACTTCTGGCGAGAACTTGTTGATATTCCGGTGGGGAGGAGGGTTCAGGGAAGGGAGTTGGTGTGGGCCAACATAACAGTTAACGTGGCTGCTGCCAGAGGAGCCTGAGGTACATCTTAACCCTTCGGTGGTCAAGGATGAAAAGTAAGTGTGTGTGTGTGTGTGTGTGTGTGTGTGTGTGTGTGTGTGTGTGTGTGTGTGTGTGTGTGGGGGGGGGGCATTGCTAATGAGACAGCAGAGGTAGTGTCCCTGCTGGTCTGTGTTGCTATGGTGAAGCACAAAGTGTATGTAAATGGTGACAGTGTTAAACATCCATTTGGGTTTTATTTACTGGTTTGGCAATGCAGTATTTTTTATTTTAACTTATTTATTGGTATATTATTTTTATACATTCCTCACATTTACTGGTACGTACTGTATAATTATTTCAAGGAAACTGTGGCTACAGGAGGAAAATGCACACAAAACTTTTTTCCTAAATACTCCCTGCTGAAATGGCCGTGGGTCTTACATGGTATCTCTCAACATTAAAAGTCACATAAAACAATTTACAGTATTCCTCTAATCTTGTTCAAGCCTCATGTATCTTTGTAAACTAACATCTGCTTCTCAACTACTTACAGTCAAATTCATACTGAGTGTGTGTGTTACAGACCATTGGCAAGACTGACCAGTAGAGACGGTGTGGATACAGTATATAAGGAGGTAGTGCTAACTCCTCACTATTATACATTTCAGTTCCTCCATAAAACCTTATTATGACTATAGTATTATCATCACTTGATCACAACAGGGTCTCAATTTTTCATTTCTACACCACACGTTTTTCTTCTTTTTTACGGGGATTAGCCCACCCAGGCACAGGTCACTGACCCACATCGGGGCCTGGGGGGCAAAAATGTAATAATAATAATAATAATAATAATAATAATAATAATAATAATAATAATAATAATAATAATAATAATAATAATAATAATAATAATAATAATAATAATAATAATAATAATAATAATAATAATAATAATAATAATAATAATACCATAATAATACAGTAAAACCTCGATTAACCAACCACATATGGGGGAAGGAGCCGACGGATAATCCGAAAGGTCGGTTAATAGTACATAAAGTCTACGGAATAAAAACAATCACTTTCAAAGTACCTTTCCCGAACCTACCTCATTTAATTCCCTCTATTCATTTTTGTTCATTTGCCACTCATATTTCAATAGAATTTGCTTTAAAATATTAACCACTTTAGTAAATAAATATGAACCAGCACAGAAACCGTGAATAAAAAATGGAAAAGTCATCACAAAAATTGTGACCAAGTCCCAGGTTGCTGATCTGACTTTCTACCTCATTTACACACAATGGCAGGGTCTCAATTGCTTCTCTTACTATTGACAACACAACATACATATATTGTTCCTCACTCTTGATTTTTTTTTTTTTTGCATTTGTTTATGGTTCTTTATTACTATTATTATTATCATTATTAATATTACATTATCGCACCCCAGGCCCCGATGTGGGTCAGTGACCTGTGCCCGGGTGGGCTAATCCCGGCAAAAAAAATATATTTTTTTTTCTAGGAGTTCGGGATTGACGGTTAATCCAAAAGTCGGTTAATCGAGGGTCGGTTAATCGAGATTTTACTGTTGTAATAATAATAATAATAATAATAATAATAATAATATTAATAATAATTCACAGTAAATAAAATTTATAATAAAAATACAAAAATTAAAAATTAAATAATAAACTAATAATGTTAACAATTACAATAACACTGTAATAATAATAATAATAATAATAATAATAATAATAATAATAATAAAGAAAAAAAAATTAAAATCAATAGTGACAAACAATATATGTATGTTGTGTTGTCAAAGTAAGAGAAACAATTGAGACCCTGCAATTGTGTGTGAATGAGGCAGAAAGTAAGATCATCAACCTGGGACTTGGTCACATACCGGTATGGCAGCAGGGCCCAGGGCCGGCGCTACCCACTAGGCGAACTAGGCGATCGCCTAGGGCGCCAACATCTGGGGGCGCCACAAATTCAGGGCAAACTTGGATAAAATTAAAAATGAATGGAAAACTGTGGTGGACACTGTGGTGGAGCCGTGGAGGGTCGGAGCAGGATGTTAGAAGGGGGGGGGTGGTCGGAGGGAGGCGAGGGTAGGTAGACGGTAGCCGACTGTGTTTTCTTTTTTAATATTATTCGTTAACCCCCCGGAGGGACTAACCCGGGTCCTTATCTTTGGCGGCCTGGAGAACTGTCGAGCAGTGACCTGAAGGCTGACATCTGAGGAACCCTTCTCCCAACCCCACCATCCCCTCCCCTTCCTTACTGCCAGGGCGGCTGAGCCGCCCTTTCCCTGTCTTTTTCGGGATGAGGCAAGGTTACCTGACCTCTGAAGTTTACGTCAAGGATTTATTGACTTAATGTAATAACAATAATTGGTTATTTGCATGGGTGAAGTAATAAAGCCACAAGATGAAAACAATGTAGTAATGGGTTACTGTACCTACATTAGCTTATCAAAACTTTCAAGGGGGCGCACATCAAGGCTTGCCTAGGGCGCCAAATCATCTTGCCGGAGGGCCTACCATTAGACAACACATTATGCTTCCAATATCTTCCCATACAGTAGTACCTCCCTGTTTGGTAGCTGCCCCAGAGACTGTGAGGGCGGCCATGTTTCTACAGTACACAACCTCTCTGTGTTGTGCCCCAGACTGTGAGGGTGGCCATGTCTCTACACAACCTCTCTGTGTTGTGCCCCAGACTGAGGGCGGCCATGACTCTACACAACCTCTCTGTGTTGTGCCCCAGACTGTGAGGGCGGCCATGTCTCTACACAACCTCTCTGTGTTGTGCCCCAGACTGTGAGGGCGGCCATGTCTCTACACAACCTCTCTGTGTTGTGCCAAACTGTCTTCTGAATTTTTTTTATTTCTCTACATGTTTAATTGTTATTCAAATGTTGTATACTGTACCATACATACTCCTGTATACACTGATCTATTAAGACCACCCCCCCTATTTACAATGTAAATAATCCGTAGGAACGATGGTCATTGTCCGGCCAACGCGGAAGCATCTCTCGGTTCACATGTCAGCTGTGGTCAACCAGCGCACTGCCACACAGCCACCGGGTGCACTACAGTACCAAGTTTTGTCCAATGGTGATCGCACATGCCCGTGATTGTGTAGCTCAATGAAATTATCAGTCAGTATCGGTGTTTTTATTTATCATCAGTGTTTTTTATTTTTTACATTACAGTGAGAGGACATGATTAACATTCACATTGTACTCTATTTTTGTGAGTGTGAAGTGAGCAGTGTAACCTTGAAAATGTCTGGGAAGGGCAAGGCATCCAAGAAAACTGTGTCTCTGAGGTGAAGCTTGACACTGTTAAGCAGCATGAGACTCCCCAGAGGCTGTGTGATGTCTCCACTCCACCTACAAAAGTCCTCTTGAAGGGGACATGTGATACTGACCATACTTATTCTTCAGGATGTAGTGAGTGTTGTTTAATTGTGTTGGAGGTATAGTATTAGTGTAGGAATTTTATTTTAGGTGATACTGTACATGTGGGTGTCAGACTGGCTGGGAATGTATCCCATGTTATGATGATCATTTACGATACTTCAACCTGCGAGAGGCTCTTCAAGAACGTAACCCTATCCTAAATTGGGGATACCTGTTGTTTGGTCCTTGATTCGTTGACACACTTTCATATATCACGCATTTAATTTGACTCTAGCTTTTGAGAAATACTATATATAATCCTACACATTATTTATAACAAGACACCAGATTGACACCAATGAGCCTTGACTGTGACTGCCACTACAGCAGCTAATGCTGTGAACAGCATTACCAACTCTCAAACTGCATTCCCACCAGAATTATCAATTCCTATTTATAAATTTAGTTAAGAGTGACAACTAAAAGTACCTTTAACTTAACCAGTGAAGCATAGCATAAAGTGAGGTGGGTTAC